TTAAACCCGGAACAGAGGTTAATTTCCGCTGCAGACTGTCTGGTCGAACAAAGTCTCCTTTGTTGTGGAGCGAAAGCAGCTGTGATGCTTACAATTGAAATACCTAATCAACTATTGCGTTCCATGTTATCGTTATATTTCGGTCTTATCTTCTGGAACATAATGGTTTTGGAAAAGAAGTGAGACAGATTCTGCGCAAGCCCTCCACACTGAATTCAAGCCCCTCTCTTCGGGTATTAGTGGTCTCTGATGGCGTACAGATCAGGGTAGAAGGGGATGATATATCATGTTTTAGGATCGCATCTGACTATGTTTGTATATCTTAATGGCTATTAAATGTAACGCTCGATTGTACTGGCGGACGATAGTAGATAGGCGTTTCGGGCGTGGTTCTTAATAGCGTGGCCTCGTAAGCCTCCACCGGCCGGGACGGGCTTTTATTAATGACTGTCTAATATTGCTTCGTTGAAATGTTCGATGAGGTTTCCTACGAATTCATAATAAATGCGGGAACCCAACAGCAGCACGGATTGTTTGATCAAAGTTGTCTCCTCCAGTGTTGTGATTAGTCTGACCTATAGGTAATTAGGCGGTGTCTGAGACGTGAAGCACATTTACTTCGTCCCGAGTGCGCGAACATCGTCAGGGAGGCTTGGGCTGCGCAAGAAACCGACTGACGTTATTTTGGCCCGCTCCTCATCAAACACTTACTCTAGTACAGCCCTAAATTTGACCAGAAGGACAGCCGAAAACCAGTCAAGGCATACCGGTGGTTCTTGAGCCTTTGGTATTTCATCTTCGTCGCTGTAAGAAAGCGTGGGTCGAGTTCTCCCGACTCGCGCTTGTGGAAAGCTGGTATGTGTGACATCACGGAGACTGGCTGGACCGAACTAGACCATGGTAGTGTCAAATACAAGCTGCTCGACTATTTGTCTGGCCTCTAACAAGTGGGACTTGCTGAGTTTCGTATTAAAGTAGTAAACTGATCATTTTAAATATTAGAACACTTTTAATAGCCTAACCCGATGCTCGCAACTATAGCCCTTCGATAAATTCTCGTCCGGCCAGTACGAGAGTGGCGTGTAGAAACAGATTGAAGTTCGTTTTTCCATACAATTGGTTGTGGTAACAGGGAGAAGCGTCCTGAGATAGAGGTAGGAGACAGTGCTGAGTTCAGGAAGTGTATGATACATGAAGTCAAGGGGAGGAGTCTCGCTCGACCACACACTGGAATTAAGTGCGTTTAAATTTCACTCATCTATTCTAACTGATTTCCTTCACGTTTTTTTCGGTCTTCTCATTTTGAGTTATTAATGGCGTTATAATTCGTTTCTTTATCTCTTCCGTTGAATCAGCTTGACGACCAACAGCTGAGAACGAAAGACAACCGGTCGTTCCTTCTGACACACCTTTGCGGCTGGTCAAAGTCATCCGAGGGTGAAATGCTTCGGTTTCCACTGCCCATCGGTTCGGAAAACGATGCAACTGAGGCAGTGGCGCAGAAATCGGAGCAAACGGCTCCGAGTAGTCGAGACGGCGTTCGCAAGATCACCAGCCCCTTTATAGTGTGGAAAAAGAAGCGCAACGCCTCAAAAGTTAAGCCTCTCGTCGAGGGAACCTTGACGAAAAAGGAGTCGGTGGCTCGACGAGCAAGAGCCGTGCTCACAGACCCCTTGTGAGAGGAGTACTTGTGTATTTCTGCTGCTGTTGCGTACGAGAAGTTTCGCCTTGGGCTGTGATATGTACGGACATTTTCCCATCCTCCCCTCCAACTTTACTTCCTTCCCATTACTCTGCCTTTTACTTTTTTTCCGTCTCCCAGCTTGTACAAATTGACGGCCCACATTAAATGGAATTGTATATTTCTGAAAAATTCGAGGTTCCTTCCGCAGTTTACATTTCAGACACTTGTAAGAATATGTTTATCTGCAGGTCGGAATTCCGGACCGATTTGTCTGGCTATCTGGGAGTTAAAAATAGGTTAATCTAATCGTCCCTATTCGCCGGACTTCACGTCAAGCCGTTGTCGCCCTTCTGAATTACTGATTTGCTGGCTAGAAACGGGACATGCCATGTAGCCAGTTACCCGCCTCCGTGCACTCAAAATCAATCCTATACTACTAGAGGCAGATCAGGACGATTAGGTTTGCTAAAAAAAAGCTGGTACGACTATGTGAGCAGTGCTTTAGTTCCCTTCTTTATGGGTTGGAATTGGAGTTTAGATAGTTGGCACCCAGAACTTGGAGAATGAAATTGGTCTTGGGTAAGGTAGGCTGAAGATGC